CTGCTTTCTCTTCTGAAGCATAAGATGTTACACACGTCATTAATGGGATTTGTGTTTTTATACGACTGCAAAAAAATTTGCTGCCGTATATTGGTATCACGTCGTCGTCGTCTGCTTCGTCCGAAGACATTTGGTTTCCGGACAATAACTTTAGTATATGTAAATAGAAATCTATGAAATTTAAAAACAAGGTTAATAACCACAAAAGGAAGGTTTGGATTGATTTTGGGGGTTATGGTCCTAACAGTTTAGGAATGAGGGGCCAAAAAGGGGCCCAAATAAGCATTTTTCTAGTTTCTAGACAATAACTTGTGGAAAGGTGTATGGATCTCTCTGAAATTAGACCACAAGTTTCCATACCACAAAGGGATGGTTAGGATTGGCTTTGGGGGTTATGGCTCAAACTGTTTAGGAATAAGGGGCAAAAAGGGGGAAAAACAAGGGTTTCCTGGTTAATGGACAATTACTTAAAAGTACAATGTTATGTTTGGATTACCTCCCTTACACTGCTTTTAAATTATGTATAAAGAAATGTTGTATTGTCTTGAGGTGATTAGCTGTCAATTTATTTTTAGAAGTTACTATTAAAAATGCTGATTAAGGAATATTAATTTTAGCCCTGATTATGTATGTCATTTTCTATTTTAAGACTTTTATGATGTATTTAAATGGGTAATTATGGTTGCAAACTCCATTGGAAATTTGAATTGAGATTATGACCATATCTTGTGGGAAAGATTTTTTTTTTTAAAGGGGGGTGGGGGTGAGGGTTTAAGGTGAAAAAAAATTGGGGGGGGGGCAATTTTTTTCTCATTTCAGAAATTAAAACGAATATTTCTTCAAATATTTTTTTTTTGCAAAAAAAGGGGGGTGGGGGTAAAAAAAAAATTTTGGGTGGGGGATCAATTTGCAACAGCATAGTGTATTGCACAAAAGCAAAAAATTGAACATAAATTCAAATCATATAACCAATTCTAAGTTCTTTGACTACAGTTATTCTGTGTCAAATATTTAATTACAATCCAAATTCAGACCTGTATCAAGCGCCAATATTGTGTCCATTTTTGCCCCAACTGTTCAGGATTGGACCTCTGAGGTCGTCTCCAGCTGCGCTCGGCGAAGCAATTTATTGTGTTTCCTAAACTTAAGTTTTCTGTGTAATGTTTTGTAGAAAGTTTGTCTTCTGGCTAGGTGTCATTTGTCCCTCGATTTATGATTTTGATATCTTTGTACTTTTCACTAAATTTTGTAGGTAACTGACCTTAGTGAGAGGAAACCTTCATTGATTTTCAAGTCACCAGTCATAAAAATACAATAACACATCAATGAAAAGACTGACAATCCGGCAGTCTTTTCATTGATGATCTTTTGAATCAAAGGTCAATTTTGTGCCTTTAAATTTGGGTAAACTTAAAATATAAATTAAAGAGATGTGGTATGATTGACAATGAGAAAACTATCCAATAAAGTCTAAATAATGTGGATTTAAGCAATTTTAAAAAGGTCACTGCACAGCCTTCAACAAAGAGCAAAACCAAATACCATATAGTCAGCTCATACCCATACCCATACTGTATAGTAAAACCCATACAGTTTAGTAAAGTCAATTTTGGGGAAGACATCTATTGATTTTGGAAAGGTATTCCAAGAAAGATATGATATGTGAGGGAAAGTTTAAGTACCATTAAATCTGATTCAACCAAACCAAAATATATTGTGCTAACAAAGATGACTAAGTAATGTATGGTTCATAAATGTTTGCTACTACTACTATGTTAACATTCCAATATAAGTTTGTTGGTGGTTAGCCTAAATTTGGCTATATTCAGGAAGTTGACACTTTTATACGACATGAAGATATCTGTTACATACTAGACTAACACACTGAGATTCTAGCCAAAAATGTAACTGTCCACAGGAAGACATGTTACTTTAATCACATACATTTTTCTGACAACAAGCTAATAAAAATTTGCTATCACTTCTAAATGATGTGTCCTTGGTAGATAAAGAGTTGATACGAAGTATAAAGTCTTTAGTATATTACATCAATTGTTGATACGAAGTATAAAGTCTTTAGTATATTACATCAATTTGAGCACAATCACGAGACCACAGGTGGTTACAACAGATAGGACAAACAGAAACATCAACAGATCCTAAAGTAGACTTGTAAAAGGGAAAACACTTGCAACAAGACAGTCATCCCTGACAACATATAGGTCAAACAGAAATATCAACAGATAACCTCAAGTAGACTCATGAAAAGGGAAAACCTTTCAACAAGACAGTCATCCCTGACAAAAGATAGGACAAACAGAAATATCAACAGATACCCTCAAGTAGACTCATGAAAAAAGAAAACTTTTCAACAAGACAGTCATCCCTGACAACAGATAGGACAAACAGAAATATCAACAGATACCCTCAAGTAGACTCATGAAAAGGGAAAACCTTTCAACAAGACAGTCATCCCTGACAACAGATAGGACAAACAGAACTATCAACAGATACCCTCAAGTAGACTCATGAAAAGGGAAAACCTTTCAACAAGACAGTCATCCCTGACAACAGATAGGACAAACAGAACTATCAACAGATACCCTCAAGTAGACTCATGAAAAGGGAAAACCTTTCAACAAGACAGTCATCCCTGACAACAGATAGGACAAACAGAACTATCAACAGATACCCTCAAGTAGACTCATGAAAAGGGAAAACACTTGCAACAAGACAGCCATCCCTGACAACAGATAGGACAAACAGAACTATCAACAGATACCCTCAAGTAGACTCATGAAAAGGGAAAACCTTTCAACAAGACAGCCATCCCTGACAACAGATAGGACAAACAGAACTATCAACAGATACCCTCAAGTAGACCCATGAAAAGGGAAAACCTTTCAACAAGACAGTCATCCCTGACAACAGATAGGACAAACAGAACTATCAACAGATACCCTCAAGTAGACTCATGAAAAGGGAAAACCTTTCAACAAGACAGTCATCCCTGACAACAGATAGGAGAAACAGAACTATCAACAGGTACCCTCAAGTAGACTCATGAAAAGGGAAAACCTTTCAACAAGACAGCCATCCCTGACAACAGATAGGACAAACAGAACTATCAACAGATACCCTCAAGTAGACTCATGAAAAGGGAAAACCTTTCAACAAGACAGTCATCCCTGACAACAGATAGGACAAACAGAACTATCAACAGATACCCTCAAGTAGACTCATGAAAAGGGAAAACCTTTCAACAAGACAGTCATCCCTGACAACAGATAGGAGAAACAGAACTATCAACAGGTACCCTCAAGTAGACTTGTTGAAAGGTTTTCCCTTTTCATGAGACAGTCATCCCTGACAACAGATAGGACAAACAGAACTATCAATAGATACCCCCAAGTAGACTCATGAAAAGGGAAAACCTTTCAACAAGACAGTCATCCCTGACAAAAGATAGGACAAACAGAAATATCAACAGATACCCTCAAGTAGACTCATGAAAAAAGAAAACTTTTCAACAAGACAGTCATCCCTGACAACAGATAGGACAAACAGAAATATCAACAGATACCCTCAAGTAGACTCATGAAAAGGGAAAACCTTTCAACAAGACAGTCATCCCTGACAACAGATAGGACAAACAGAACTATCAACAGATACCCTCAAGTAGACTTATGAAAAGGGAAAACCTTTCAACAAGACAGTCATCCCTGACAACGGATAGGACAAACAGAACTATCAACAGATACCCTCAAGTAGACTCATGAAAAGGGAAAACCTTTCAACAAGACAGTCATCCCTGACAACAGATAGGACAAACAGAACTATCAACAGATACCCTCAAGTAGACTCATGAAAAGGGAAAACCTTTCAACAAGACAGTCATCCCTGACAACAGATAGGACAAACAGAACTATCAACAGATACCCTCAAGTAGACTCATGAAAAGGGAAAACCTTTCAACAAGACAGTCATCCCTGACAACAGATAGAACAAACAGAACTATCAACAGATACCCTCAAGTAGACTCATGAAAAGGGAAAACCTTTCAACAAGACAGTCATCCCTGACAACAGATAGGACAAACAGAACTTTCAACAGGTACCCTCAAGTAGACTTGTTGAAAGGTTTTCCCTTTTCATGAGACAGTCATCCCTGACAACAGATAGGACAAACAGAACTATCAACAGATACCCTCAAGTAGACTCATGAAAAGGGAAAACCTTTCAACAAGACAGTCATCCCTGACAACAGATAGGACAAACAGAACTATCAATAGATACCCTCAAGTAGACTCATGAAAAGGGAAAACCTTTCAACAAGACAGTCATCCCTGACAACAGATAGGACAAACAGAAATATCAACAGATACCCTCAAGTAGACTCATGAAAAGGGAAAACCTTTCAACAAGACAGTCATCCCTGACAACAGATAGGACAAACAGAACTGTCAACAGATACCCTCAAGTAGACTCTGGAAAAGGGAAAAACTTTAAGTTCATTCAACATCATGAAAAATACCCAATTAAGGTATTTATGTCTTTATGTGCCTGTCCAAAGTGAGGAGCCTGTAGTTCAGTGGTTGTTATTGGTTCATGTCTGTCATATTTGTTTTTTGTAAATTGTTTTGTTATAAATTAGGCCGTTAGTTTTCTGATTTGAATTGTTTCGTAATTTTCATGTCGGTGCCTTTTATAGTCGACTATACAGTATTGTTTTTTTTTCATTGTTCATGGCCGTACGTATCTACATAGTATGTTCTTTATTATCTACAACGTTTAATGACATTCTGTTGTGTGGTTTCAGAGGAGTTGTGATGACAAGAACAAGAACAAGACTGACTGACGGACAGATGGGTCAAAAACATTATACCCAATTGTGTTCCATGGGGTATAATAAATAATATGGGAATAAAAACTATATAGTAAGATTAGTAGAAGGACTGATATGGGACCAATAGACCAGACCAGTAACAATTCAAACAAAGCGACAATAACAAGTTTTATAAAGCTATTTTGTAACAATTACAGATCAATTATATATGTATTTCAAAACCTGAAACTTCATCTAGTATAAATAGTTATATTTAACATACATATTATTTTAATACATGTTGTTCTAATACTAATTTTGGCATTTTGTGTAAATCAAACTGAAATTTATTAATGCTTTAAAGTATAACAATAAAATTCCTGGACGGATTTCACAAAAATATAGTGAGAAGACAAATCTTCTATAGTTCATTGGGAGGACAACACAATAATAAATTATACTAACAATATTACAAATAAGTAGACTAAAATTATGTATCAATTTTTTTTGTGAAAGATTGAAAATAAGGTCTAATTGGAATTACATATCACAAAAACATATAACCATATTCAGTAAAAAAAAATAGTATAATGCTTTATTTTGACTGTTTGACTAGAAAAAAAGAAAAGCTTTCTGTATAAAAATATACAAGAGAATGAAAAGTGCGTTTTTCCAATTAAATAGTCTTATTTTTCACACATAGCTAATTTATAATGAACATTTCAAAGCTTTAGAAAAAGGATTAGTATTGACTCTAATAACAGGATATTGTTCCCTAGAACTTTGACTCTCTTTTTTTACCAAGATTTTAAAAAAGAAATGCACTTTATATATCTTATCTTGCCACAATAATAAGTTAATGATTATTTTGAGTTATTCCCCTTCCCCTAATCTAAATTGCACATGCCAAGTCAATAATAATTTATGCAGTTCAAATAAACTACCTCTGAGACTAAATAGAATGTTATCAATAAATTACATAACAGTCAATAAATAGAACTCAAAAATTCAGTCAGGACATTTAACTTTGGTATTGACTGAAAATCCTTAAAATAAATTATGAAGTTTGATATAAGATAAAATAATTTTACACTTTCTAATCACGACTTTCATACATATAATCAAAGTAGATTAAAGGGTATCAGATTAATTAAATGTCTATACTCATAAAGTTAAAGGTAAACTTTATAAACACTGGGTGCTTAGCTACAAACAAACTTCTGGTATCATCCAGCAGGGGTCTTAACTACTGGGGTCATCAAAGTATGAATTATGCTAACATCACTAAAGATTTTGCAGAAGTTCAAGTTCTATATTATTCAAAAATAATTGTTTATATCCTAAATCTGAAGAAAAAAATTAGTCAAGGCTTAAAAGGAACAAACATTTTACAAAAGTTCTTTTTTGGTAATTATTGCATTAGATTCCTAAGGCTACAAACCCACCCTTTTTTCACCATATCCATTTTTTCTAAGAATTTTTAGTTTGATTTCTTCAATAATGAAATTGACCCAATCACAATTTACTTATTATAAGCCATATCACACCCCTCCCCCCCCCCCCCAAAAAAAAAAATAAGGTGGAGGTCCAGGGGTCAAGTGTTTTCACATTATTTAGTGAAATTAATTCTTTTCGGGTTATTTATAATTACATGTATCTAAAATAATGTCCTAAACTTAGTAAAATTTCACCAAGAGAAGCTGATATTTAAAGGAACGTGTATACTTGATGAAAACTGCTTTCTAAATTCATTTCAGTACAGACCCTCATATTCAATTAAATATTGGTTAGCAAATGAATATGAGAATTAATATGTACAAACATGTAAAGTCAAGATTTTTTTTACAAATTAGGGGTAATTTACATATCTATACATAAATTAGTTTTGTTTATCAGTTTGATTGCACTTCATGGAGTCTACATTCTTCTATAAAAATAAATAAAAGTAATTTACATATTAAACAATTTTACAAATAAAGTGAACAAAGTTTATTGTACCCTTCACTTTTAAATTAAATAAATCATGAAAAAAGAATAATAGATTTTATTTGAAATTAAGTCTAAAAATTATTTCTTGTGAACTAAATCTATTTACAGGGAAAATGAAAAGAAAAAATTGAGTGTACAATAAGTTAAATGGTAATTTACATGTATACAATATACACTTACTTTGAGATAAATATGCACCAAGGACTTAGATGGTATCACAAAATTAACCTATCACAGAATATGTTTCAGAAAATATCATTCACGGTTCTCTTTATCCTAAATATGGAATTTACAAAATAACACAAGATTTTGATTTGGGATTGTCGGCTGCATTTCTATCATTAGAGTGTCCTGCACTTTTCTGACGTAATTCTATTTTAAGTTGATGAAGTTCTTTACTTAATTCTTGAATTTTCTTTTCCTTTTCCTCATCTTCATGAGCAATCTGTTTTAATTTCAATTGCAAGTCTTTTATTTGGGCATCATTATCTTCATTTTCTGTTGTACCTGGAGTTTGCCTTTTTAATTTCTCTAGCTCCTCTTGTAAATTTTTCACTTGAACCTTATTTTCGTCATTTTCTTTCCTTAATTCACTTAATTCAGTCTCTACAACCTTGTGTTTCTCTGTGACTTGTTGAAGTTCCTCTTTAGCAGTTTTTGCATCATCAGCCAATCTTGTGTTGTCGTCAATCAATTGTTGCATGGCATCTTTTGATTCTTGCTGATTCAGAAGTGCATTTTTCCTCTGCTCTTCCTCTTCTGCTTGCTTTCTTGCTTCTTCCTCTTCTGCTTGCTTTCTTGCTTCTTCCTCTGCTTGAAGTTTTGCCTCCTCTTCTGCACGACGCCTTGACTCCTCCTCTTCCTCAGCTTTCTTTTTTGTTGCTTCCTCCTCTTCCAATTTAGCATCTAAAAGACGTCTTTCTTCCTCTTCTGCTAATTTCTTTGCTTCCTCTTCTTTTTTCTCTTCTTCAAGTCTTTTTTGCTCCTCCTCAGCATTTATATCTTTTTCTGTTTCTTTTGTTTCTTCATGCTTAGTAACTTCTTCTTCCTTCTGTCCATCATTTGTTTCATTCTTACTCTCGTTTTCCTCTTTCTTTGGTTCTATGTCATCTGTCTTTTGCTCTTCAGCAACGGTTTCAACAGGCTCAATAGTTTTCTCCTCTGAACTCATTTTGACTATTGGGCTGGTTTCTTGTTGATCTATCGTATCCTCCTGGTTTTCTTGGCTTTGTTCAATATTTTGTTCTTCACTTATACCTAATCCCTGGTTGTTGTCTTGAGGACTACTAGTTGCTAACTGGTCATCACTTCCTCCAACAATCTGTTTACCTGTAAATAGTTTAATTTGGGTAATTGTATTAGTTCTGACAAGTGAAAACTGAATATCTCTGCAATGTAAACTCAATGTGTCGTAAACAACTATTACACACTGTTATAAACAATTTTATCACTTTCATTATGCCAATAAAAGTAAATTAAAATTGATAAGGTTTTGATATTTAGCTTAAGAATAACAAGAATTTACACCTAGTTTTGAAAAGCATTTACTTTTTCTGAATTTTTTTCATCTTTAAACATGTAATAAATTTTCATAATTAATTAATAATTCTCCTTTACCTATCTTAAATGATATACATAAAATTTTCAAATTAATTCTATGTTAAAAACAATTAAAACAAATCAAATTAGTGTCAAAACTGAAAATCATGTGAAAACAAATAATTGAGCCTTTCTAATTGATAGAGCTTAATTTAAATTCAATGATATATGAAATTAACAGTTTATAGAACTTGCCTCACTTGACACTCACTTTAAGTCACAATGAAAATATGATGTATAACGACACAATCTGTCTTTTAATACTCTACTACAAGTATTTGCAAATATTTTGAACAAACCCACAAATCTAACTAATTTTAGTTACAAGTTCAGAACACCAAAGCAAACTGATTTATTTACATGATGCATATTTGCTAGGTCAAATTTTAAATACAAAATTAAATAAAAATCTTCAAATTTGCATTATAAACATTCTGAAATCATAGATACAGCTATGTATAGATATGTGTCAGAATTTCTGTCCAAGAGTAAGTTAAGTTGAACAAGTGAAATAAAATGTATTACAAAGAAAAGGTACAATAATTTTGGCATTTGTAACCCTGAATAAGGGTTCACACAAGAAAACACTCACAAGATTGATAAATTGAAATTAGATGGCGTTGTCGTATAATTGATTATTTCCTCCCAACCCATAACTTTTAAATAATATCACTTTATAACAGAATGTATTTTGTAGTTTTCGACACTTTAAAGGCCTAATCTAATCTTAGTTTATTTTACATTTATTATTATCATGAAAACATGCCCTGGGAAATTTGATGATCAGGGGCGGTTCAAAGTAACTTCAAACCAATTTTAGATTTTATTTTTTTACCTGTATGAACATATAAAAATAATTTATTAATTTTAAAGGGTTTTCAAATATAATCAAGTGATCAAAATTTGCTAAAGTATATAGATGTGTTGGGAAAACATTATATTTTCTAGTATGCATCTTTCAATTTTTATTAATGTATACCAGAATAAATTGATCCAAATTGAGTACTTTTCTTATAAATGTGTTAAAATCCAGTACATCATAAGGTTAGAATTTACAAGACCCCATTGAAATAATTTTGCTTTTCACCTTAGTAAAGTACAGGTGGTTTGATTTTCTGTCACAGATTTACTCTAGTTTATTTTCCAACTTACAGATTTACACTGTGGTTTAACTTTCTGTCAGACAACAATGTCTCACATTCTAATAGATAATGGTCTTAATATTAAGATAAACAAGCTGCCAATAGTCCATTTCCCAATTACCTTGATTCTGTTACTTTTGTCAATCATAGACTGGTACTATACCCGACAAAATTGACTTCTGCACATGCAAAGCATGATAAGCAGAAAGTGATATATCAGCATTGTTAGTGAAAAATAACTGATGGTATCAAAAGTTTTTAGCTAAATTAACAAAAAATTAAATGTAATTAAAAGATATGAAAAAACTTAAGGTTACACACATTAAGCACAGATAAATTTGCTCTTTCCACTAGCTCTCCATTGTCGATGAAAATCTATGTCCCTCCTATGGGGGACATCTGACAAATGAATCTTTAATTATAGGGTCAATTATGGGAATTGGAAAATAGACTATTGATAAAACAAGAGGCTCCTTAGAGCCTGAATCTGTCACTTATCAAAATATATATCTTGTATTGCTGATTAGTTTTCCTATTTACAGTTTCTACCTATCTATTATATTTTTCAAAATAACAGTTAACAAGAGTGCACACGCTGAAATGTCTCGCCTTCTTTACTAATCATTGATATTATGTTGATAGTCCTAAATATAAAGCTTTCTTACAACTGTCACATAAACTTAACATTAACCAAGAAAACTAAACATTGACCAATGAACCATGAAAATGAGGTCAAGGTCAGATGAACCATGACAGGCAGGCATGTACAGCTAACAATTCTTCCATACAACAAATATATTTGACCTATTGCTTATAGTTTAAGAAAAACAGACCAAAACACAAAAACTTAACACTGAGAAATTAACTGTGAAAATGAGGTCAAGGTGAAATAAAACCTGCGTGACTGACATAAAGATCATAAAATATTTCCATACACCAAATATAGTTTTCCTATTGCATATAGTATTAGAAAAAAAGACCAAAACTCAAAATCTTAACTTTGACCACTGAACCATGAAAATGAGGTCAAGGTCAAATGACACCTGCCAGCTAGACATGTACACCTTACAATCATTCCATACACCAAATATAGTTGACCTATTGCTTAAAGTGTAAGAAAAACAGACCAAAACACAAAAACTTAACATAAGCAATGAACCTTGAAAATGAGGTCAAGGTCAAATAAAACATGCCAGACTTACATGTACATCGTAAAATATTTCCATACACCAAATATAGTTGACCTACTGCATACAGTGTAAGAAAAACAAACCAAAACACAAAAACTTAACATAAGCAATGAACCTTGAAAATGAGGTCAAGGTCAAATAAAACATGCCAGACTGACATGTACATCATAAAATATTTCCATACACCAAATACAGTTGACCTATTGCATACAGTATTAGAAAAACAGACCAAAACACAAAAACTAAACTATGACCACTGAACCATGAAAATGAGGTCTAGGTCAGATGACACCTGCCAGTTGGACATGTACACCTTACTATCATTACATACACCAAATATAGTAGACCTATTGCTTATAGTATCTCAGATATGGACTTGACCACGAAAACTTAACCTTGTTCACTGATCCATGAAATGAGGTCAAGGTCAAGTGAAAACTATCTGACGGGCATGAGGACCTTGCAAGGTACGTACATACCAAATATAGTTATCCTATTACTTATAATAAGAGAGAATTTAACATTCCAAAAAATCTGAACTTTTTTTTCAAGTTGTCACTGAACCATGAAAATGAGGTCAAGGACATTGGACATGTGACTAACGGAAACTTCGTAACATGAGGCATCTATATACAAAGTATGAAGCATCCAGGTCTCCCACCTTCTAAAATATAAAGCTTTTAAGAAGTTAGCTAACGCCGCCGCCGCCGGATCACTATCCCTATGTCGAGCTTTCTGCGACAAAAGTCGCAGGCTCGACAAAAACACAAAAATTATTAAATCAAATTTCATCATTTAAGGACAACAACTATAATAAGTTTCGGTCATTTAACATTTTGGTCGATCTTGTATTTTGATAATTTTTGCTGTTTAGAGTCATTACTTATTCATTTCAGTTTTTGAAAAGCCCAAAACATGAAACATTAGCCTAAAATCGTCTTTTAAGGGCAATAACTCCTATAAGATGTCACATAATGATTTTGATAAAAATGGTAAAGAGGTATATCTTGACATTCTGAGCAGCATTTTTAACTCATTTGGATTTCTGTGTCTATCATGGTTTTCCAGATATTAGACAAATTAATGCATTATACCCTTTGTTCTATTTTAGCAATGATGATTGATTTTTTAAAAAGTTTACCACAATATACAACAATAGACATGATGGACGGAGATGAAGCCTGTATAGCCAGCATAAAATCATTTACAGTGTATAATAGTCTTCTTATTTGAATAAACTTCACATAACTGTACTTTTATAATTTGATAATGATAAATAGTGCAAAATTTCAAGGAAAATTGGCTTTAAGAAAATCATTATTTATTCATTTGTTTTGTAGTCCTACAGCTTCTATTGCTTTCATTTATTTTCATGTATACGTAATTTAAACATGTTATAACTAAAATAATTATAAAAAACAGCAGTTATGTTATTTTCAACAAATTGAGAACTCAGGTTAAAGCTCAGTCGTGGATAATAAGGCCATAACTGTGGAGAATTGAAATGGTATTACTAAGAATATTACATTGAACTAATTGACTGTAAATTAACTATGTGTAAATATCTGTTTTTGATTGTATTGTAATTTGTATGTGAGGGCCTCAGGGAAGATTAGTTTATTGTAACTAACTGAGTTTACCCTCTTTAAATAAAGAATTTATTATTATTATTATTATTATTATTAAGAATCTAATACATTTGTATACACATATGAATAAAAGGTGATTAAGGACATACATCAATGAGATAACAACCAAATGACACAATTTCAAAGAAATAACAAGTAAAACTGCAAGCTACTGCTCACTGATGATACCCCCACCCAAATATTTCGGTAAACAGGAAGTTGTTGAGTGATGAATCTGAAAATGCATCACACGGTATAGCTGACTTATATAAACCCTGAAATCAAATTTCAGAAATCCTTGTATTGTAGTTCCTGAGAAAAATGTGACAAAATTTTCAACTTGGCTATCATGTGTAAACTGATACAAGTGTTTGGTAAACAGGAAGTTGTTGTAAAACAGTATACCCCCACTTTTTTAAGGCGGGGATATAAAAATAGTGAACTATTATGTTTGTTAATACTTAAAAATTTTCCAGTAGAAAGACTATTTAAGGTATTGCCAGCCCCAAGTTATCAGCATCCAAAAAGAAGACCTAAATGTATTTCTCTATTCATAATACATTGACAAAAGTAGATAGAAGATGCTGATGCCCTGATAACAAAACTTATTTTATTGGATCTGCCACATTCTGTATGTGTCTGTCCCAAGTCAGGAGCCTGTTATTCAGTGGTTGTCGTTTGTTACTGTATATCATATTTGTTTTTTGTTTGTTGTTTTGTACATAGATCAGGCCATTGTTCTATTTTGAATTGTTTTTCCCATTCTTATG